CGCGGCATCCGGGCCGGGCCGTGTGGGGCTGCGCGGCTGGTCATCCACGCCCCCGGAGCATCCTGGGGCCGGCTCCCCGGACCGTCCCACCTGAAACCGAGGGGGACAGAGTCAGGGGACGAACGCAACAAACTTGAGCTCAGGATGGTGCCCCAGGGAATTCGGGCGACACCACCACCACCACTCAACCACCACATCCACCGGAGAACAGCTTCTTTTTGCTTTCTGTCCAGCTGTGGTAATTCAACAGCCCTGCTCTTTACCAGTTAGCAAGGGCTTGCATCCTAAGTACCGCAGGCGAGTTAACTCATGACATCACCATGAAGTAGGTGCTAGTATCCCCCTTATGCAGATGGGAGAACTGAGGCACAGACCTGAGGAAGTGGAGGAAATGAGATTTGAACCCAGGACTATGGCCCCTGAGCCCCTGGCCTTAACCACTACACCCGCTGCCAACGATCCCTAAGGACTGGACTCGGGCAGGAGGGGCTCTGTATAAGCAATGTCCTCCCCTTCTGGTCTCCAGCCCCATCCAGTCTCTGCTTTCCTCACCTCCCCCCATCAGGGCCCCACCGTCATGGCATCCACTTTGTGCAAAGCTCCTCTAAATCTGCCACAGAACATGAGCAGCCCACTCAGAACCAGGCATGTAAATCACTACCAAGGTCGCGTGTCTGTTAGTGCAGTCAACTGAGAGTTGAACGTATCTCAAAACGTCACGTTCTGACTTTCTCATGCTCATCCCAAGATGTACAGTAATTTGCTAATTGTAGAAAAGTGGCAGTGGCAGCTCTATTTTAAGGGACTGTTCCATCAAAGGATGTTAAATTCTTTTCTACTTGGGGTCATAATCTTTGGCAACTGATAGAGAAACACTGTTGTGAACAAATCAGCGGGATGATCTGCCTGGCCATGACCTCAGCAGTTAACTGGTGATGGAAGGAAGGCTAGACCAGAGGGTGCGGAAGGCCAGAAGACCTGTCACTACCACTGATTCCGTCTGTCCCTTTAGGTCAGTCCCCTCACAGGTCAAATGGGACTTCATATTGTTCCTCCAGTGCCTTCCACTGCTGCTGTGCTGAGATTCTTAACTTCCTGCAAACCTCCACCCCCTTAGAGGGACATGGAAATAGTCCAGGGTTTCTGCTCTGGGACTTGCTGGGTGGGTCGGCCTAGTCCCAGGGAGGCGGGCTGTATTCAAGAATAGGAAACTGGAAACACACGGGCCCCATGCAACCTCCGGACACTGATGTTACAGAACAATGATCCCCTCCCGCCCTCAGAGGAAACCTGTTAACACTCTGGTCTATCTATCTAGGTCCCTTTTTCTATGCACATACTACCATACGTATGGATTTATTTTACCGACATGTGATCAAACCATGAATTCTACTATGCGAATTGTTTTTTCCATTTCATAATTTATTGTAGCCATCTTCTCATGTCAGAACATATAGACCTACTCCGTCATTTTTAATGCCTGAGTAGTAGTCTGTTGACTGGGTGAAGCAGGATTTATTATACAACCTCCTTCACCCCATCTCTTCCCAGATGAGCAAGTCCCAGCCCAGGGAGGCCAAAGCCATTTCACAAAGAAGCACAGGGGAGTGACCTCAAATGATCAGTCCAAGAAATGTGTTACGAGAATGAACATAGGAAGGTAGCCAAGGATGACATGGCCTCTCGCAGCCGGTTTTAGACACCGCAACTCCCCACCCCCACACCTCTCGCCACGCCCAACACACTCAAGGTCAGAGGATGCTTCCAGAACACCCTCCAAAGTGGGGCTCCACCCTGCTGTGGCCTTTATCCTGGATTCTGGACACTTGCCCTGAGGCTTCTAACAAGGCCGTCAGGAGGCCCCAAAAGCCAGTGCCCTGGGCTGCAATCTGCTGTCCCACTGTCATGGCACATAGGGGTCAGTGCCTTGTGCTACACCTCTGGAGTAAAGCCACCTTCTCCCTGCCCCTTGAGTAACTTAGTAAAAGAGATGGAGGGACCTGGCTCTCACTTTGGGAAAGGCAGCCCCTAGGAGAAAGAAGCCAGGACCTGACCCACCCTGAGAGACAAAGAAGGAAGATGATGGGTCCACATTTTCCCCATTACCAGCCCCCTTTACAGGCCCTTTGGGCTCTGGGCCTCTCTGAGGGTCGGGAAGCCCCTGAGAGGCATTCTGCACTCCAGCCATTTAAGTCAGGGCACTGGCTTGGCCCCAGGATGCAACTCCAGCTCTGCAGCTCCCAGCTGTAGGACCTCCTAGCTGTGGGACCTGGTACAAGTCCCCTCTCCTCTCTGTGCCCAATCCCTCACCTACATGAATGGGGCTTCAAGGAGAGTTAACTAAGATAATCCTCAGTGTGCTGCCTGGAATGTGGTTGGCCGCGTGACTGTTGCTGCCACTGCCCCAGAAGAGCCAGGGCCAGCTGGTGTGTGGGCCAAGCTGCTCCCAGAGTGGATGGGGCAGGGGATTCCAGGGGATCCTTCCCCAGCATCTGGATACTCCCATCAGCCTTCTGGAAGGAGACATTGATCCTCACGGCCCCAGGGGAGGCCAGCCGGGACACCACGGCCCCAGCAGCCTCTTCCCTTTACCCGGGGGGCAAAGCTTTGAAAAATCACATTTTGTGTCTGCCGCGACATGGAAACAGCTGGCAGCTCTAAGCCGCCCCCATAGCCTGTTCCTCATTACAGATGAGATGAGACCCAAAACCAAGGGGATGCCCAGGACACAGAGCCAGCAGTGTCAGAGCCTAGAATATTCCATCAGAGTGCACTTCTGTGGATGAGGAGACCATGGCTCCTCATGGGAAAGGCAGGGGAATAGGATTCAATGTACAGAAACACCGTTTTCACAGGACTCTGCATGGACCCACAGACTCCCAAAGCCAGTCTGCCTGTATGTAATTCACAGCAGGAGGAACTGTGACGGTCCCCACTTCTCAGAGGACCCCCACCCCACCCCTTGCTAAACTCCAGTGCAGAGGCTGAGGCCAGGGCTGAGGTTTGGCCAGAATGGCTGGGAGCAGGGAAAAGGACTGTCCTCAGGGTCAGAGTTATGCACGACACGCTGCCTTCTGCAACCAGCACAGCTCAAATGAACAGCAATTTAAAACACATGAAAAAATAGATGAACATGTTTATACTATATAGCACAGGGAAATATAATCAATATCTTGTAGTAGTTCATGGTGAAAAAGAATATGAAAACGAACATATGTATATTCCTGTATGATTGAAGCATTGTGCTGTACGCCAGAAATTGACACAACATTGTAAATTGACTATGACTCAATAAAAATAAATAAATAAATAAAACACAAGAAAAAATTAAGGCAGGCAACTTAGGTTTACGAGCTTATTCCAGGCACTTTCATGTTTAATCTTTAGTACAAGTCCAGAGATAGATGTTACCGTCTCCATGTTATAGCTGTGGAAAACAGTTCAGAGAAGTTAGGTAACTTGCACAAAGTCACACAGACAGCATGTAGAGGAGGCCAAAATTAGGAACCCACTTCCTAAGAGCCCAAAATGCCAAGTCAGCCTTGCAGGGCTAGGAGCCAAGAAGCCTCAGAAAGGCTTAGGAGACTGGGCACAGCCTGGCTGGCACTCCAGCAGAGGAAATGTGACCCAGACAGCACTGGGGGAGAGAGGGAGGGAGGGGTTCTGTTGGCTCTGTCCCAGAACTGGCTTGTGACCTTGGGGAAACCACTCTCTGAACCCCAGCTGATGGGCACTGGCGGGGAAACAGAGGGAGATAACCCCTGACTTCTGAAAAAGGAAGCGAATCAAACCTGCTGAGCCCGTTAGACGTTTTGGGAGGCCAACTCAAAGGCTCTCCTAAACTTTCAGGTTGTGAGTAACCTGGGGCTTGGGAAGCAGAACCCACACCTGTCCTCCCCCAGCACCCAGGGAGCCAGGCCTCCCCGGAAAGGAATCCAGGCCTGGCAGGGGCGGTAAACAGCCCAGCTCCACTCCAAGCTTGCAAGCCAGCCAAGGCCTGAGTCACTCCCAGCCTGGCCCAGGGAGGTGAGCCAGCTGCCCGGAGTGCTCTTCTCCCGACCTCGCCCAAGGTCATCGCAGCCAGTCTGCTGCAGGGTCAGGGAGGGCCCACATGGGGGACATGAGACTGGGAGCCAGAATCCAGTGTTCCCAGTCTGCTGGGTCTAGTTAGGCTGGGTGACTTGGGGAAATTATTTCACTTCTCTGAACCTCAGCTTCCTCATTTGTCAAAACTTGGATAATACCTACCCGGATGGGGTGTTATGATAGAACTTATATGGGTGCCTGAGTACAGGAAACACCCAATGGGACAGGTTGGTATGGCCTCTGGCACAGGTCCTGGCCCTTTGCCTGGGCTACCCTCACACCTTGAGCGATCTTATCCAGTCCCACGACTTTATTTTATTTTTTTATAGAGGTACTGGGGATTGAACCCAGGACCTCGTGCATGCTAAGCAAACACTCTACCACTGAGCTATACTTTCCTCCAGTCCCGTGACTTTAAATACCATCTACACACTGAACACTGGCTCCCAAGTTTCTCTCGCCCTGAGGTCTTCCGACAACATGCCCTTCACCTCCACACTTGCACACCTGATCTGCTGCCTCCAGTTGGATGCCCAACAGCAGCTCCAATGTAACAGGTCGTTTGACTTCGCGATTCCTTCTAACCCAACCTGCTCCTCCTCGCCTTCTCCACGTGGCTCAGGCCGAAACCTTGGGAGTCATCCTGCAGTGCTTGAGTCCTCTTCCAGCCCACACCCAACTGCAGTAAATCCAGTCTTCCCTGTCTTCGAAATGTTTTTAGAATCCAGGCACCCCCTCAACAGCTCGGCTGCTCCCGTCCCATGCCTGTCTCCTGGCCTTCCTGATCGCATCCCCGCAGACTACTCATCCAGAGGCCTCGCCATTCCTCTGCTCCAACTGCCCCAGCGCGGCTCCCCATGTCCTCAGAACACAATCCAGAGCCTCACTGCAGC